TCTGCACTCTGGGTTCGCTCCTGCCTAGCAAATCCTAACATTACGACGCGACCAGACCAGAACAGAACCCAGCAGGCAGGGTCTCTCTCGGCAAACTCACCTTTTTTATTTTTCCCTCCGCGAGCTAAGATGGACGAGCTCCACTCCGTCCCTGTCCGTCTGCCGTCCCACTGCTGCCGTAGTGGCAGAAAACGGTTCCGGAGGCAGTCCGCGGCGACCGGCCCGGTCTCGTCGGCTGAGCAGAATTTTAGAGTTGGTTCCGGTGTTTCTGTGGGAACGGGATCCGCCGCCTCACTCCCAGGTTTCTGGTGGGGACGAGATCCAACGTCCCGCGGGAGCTCCGGTCCAATCCTGTTCCGTTTGGTGAGTCTGGTCCACTTGACGCCACAGGGGCGGGTTCCGTCGCCTCACCTTCCAGGTTCCTGGTGGGGGCGGAATCCGGCCTCTCACCGCCACTCCGCGCCGCGGCTGTCCAACCCAGCCTGACCGTACCTCCGGAGCATATTCCCAGTGATTCATGGGGGCGTGTTCCGCCGCCTCACCTTCCAGGTTTCCGGTGGGGGCGGCACCCGTCACCACATCCCCACATAGAGACATTCCCTTTTTTCATTCATTTTCACCTGAAGAGATTTTTCAAATTAATCAAACCTTATTAGAGTTATTTCATTCAGCTAAAGCTAACCCGTCTTCCTTCGATATCATTTTGTCGCAGACGGAAGATTTTTTATTTTCTATTCCTGGTCTTTCTTGGCTGCCCGAGTATAATTTTTTACTATCTAAGATAGGGACTTTTAAAACCCCTGTCACTGCCATCTCTGAGGTAGATTCCACGCTGCACGCAGCCCCTGAGGTGGATTCCACGCTGCACACAGTCCCTGAGGTGGATTCCACGCTGCACGCAGTCCCTGAGGTGGATTGCACGCTGCACGCAGCCCCTGAGGTGGATCCTCACCTCTCCTGTTCCGAGGGGGTCCCGGCAGACGCTCCTCATCTCTCCTGTTCTGAGGGGGTCCCGACAGATGCTCCTCACCTTTCCTGTTCCGAGGGGCTCCCGGCAGACGCTCCTCATCTCTCCTGTTCCGAGGGGGTCCCGGCAGACGCTCCTCATCTCTCCTGTTCCGAGGGGGTCCCGACAGACGCTCCTCACCTCTCCTGTTCCGAGGGGGCCCCGGCAGACGCTCTTCATCTCTCCTGTTCCGAGGGGGTCCCGGCAGACGCTCCTCATCTCTCCTGTTCCGAGGGGGTCCCGGCAGACGCTCCTCACCTCTCCTGTTCCGAGAGGGTTCTGGCAGACGCTTCTCCGCTCTCCTGTTCCGTGGGACTCTGCTGAAATGGAGGGACCCTTGGCACATGTTCCAATCCATCAGCTATTTAGTTCACTTTCAGTAAGAACTGAAAGTTCCTGTACGACTCGCCATCAGACTGAGTCTCATCTTCGACTGAAAGTTCCAGGAAGACTGGAAAGACTGGGAAGACTTGAAAGACAGAATAGTTCCAAGTAGTGTTGACTTTTAAAGGGTATCCACTTCCTGTCACTTGGTACTTCCTGATTGGTTGAAACAACCAGCAGGGGTGTAGTTTTAGTAATGTCAGAGGGTTATTAGAAGTCAGCAGACAGCAGAAATGTTTTAAGAACGGTTAGTACAGAGAAAAAAATATTTTGAAGAAGTGAGAGACAGCAGGTGCCAGCCAGTTCTTATTTACTGTTTGAGAGTTTTAAAAACAAGGCACTTCGTTCTCATAAATTGTCTCTGACTTTCGACCTCAAATCTACTACTCCTCATTCAGACAGAAGACTAAAATGCACACTTACTTCGTAAATAGACATTTAACTTGTATGATCGATGAAGTCTAATGAGGTTTAAAAATCATTAATACTGTTTCACAGTTGATTTAAATGAGTGGTTCACTTCAACATTAGAAATGGTATGAAATAAACACACTTTTGATTATCAAGATATTATAAATGTTACGATTACGCGGGGAACCCAGATAGTTTGAGACCCAGAACAAGGCAGACACAGGGGAAATACAAAAGAACAGTGTTTATTATGTACAGTGAATGTTCACACGCTGGAACTCAGCTCTCCTGGAAAGAGGGATGACAGGTTAGTGTTGGTCCAAGGGGAAGACCTGAGTGGTTGTTTGAA